ATCTACCAGTATGATATATGCCATCATGTGCCAGCAATGCCCCTCTGCCATATACATTGGCCAAACCAGACAGTCTCTACGCAAAAGAATAAATGGACACAAATCAGACGTCAAGAATTATAACATTCAAACACCAGCTGGAGAACACTTCAACCTCCCTGGTCACTCAATTACAGACCTCAAAGTCACAATACTCCAACAAAAAAACTTCAAAAACAGACTCCAATGAGAAACTGCAGAATTGAAATTAATTTGCAAACTGGACACTATTAAATTAGGCTTGAATAAAGACTGGGAGTGGATGGGTCATTACACAAATTAAAATCTATTTCCTCATGCTAATTTTCCCCCCTACTGTTACTCAAACTTTCTTGTCAACTGTTGGAAATTGGCCATTCTGATTATCACTACAAAAGTTTTTTTCTCCTGCTGATAATAGCCTACCTTAATTGATTACTCTTGTTATAGTTGGTATGGCAACACCCATTTTTTCATGTTCTCTGTGTGTGTATATATATCTTCCTACTGTATTTTCCACTGCATGCATCCGATGAAGTGGGTTTTAGCCCATGAAAGCTTATGCTCAAATAAATTTGTTAGTCTCTAAGGTGCCACAAGTACTCCTCGTTCTCTCCCAAAAGCAATTCTAGTGTCCTTGTTGTGGTGGACTCAACCAGAGAATGTTCTCAAAGGAATATCTTTCAGTCTTCTTACTCCTTTGTTGATGATCACTTTGGATACTTCCAAGACAGGATGGAGAACTCATTGAGACTATATATTGATTTGTGAATGTTAGAGCTATGGAGAAAAGATATTACATATAAATAGGGCCCTACCAAATTCATGGTCCATTTTGTTCAATTTCATGGTCATAGGATTTTAAATTTTTTAAATTTCATGATTTCAGCTATTTAAATCTGAAATGTCATGGTATTGTAATTGTAGAGGTCCTGACCCAAAAAGGAGTTGTGGTGGGGGTGTTGCAAAGTTATTGGGGGGGAGAGGGTTGGAGTACTGCTACCCTTACTCCTGCACTGCTGCTGGCAGCAGTGTTGCCTTCAGAGAAGGGCAGCTGGAGAGTGGCGGCTGCAGGCTGGGAGCCCAGCTCTAAAGGCAGAGCTGTCTCCAGTAGCAGCGCAGAAATAAGGATGGCATGGTATGGTATTGCCACCCTTACTTCTGTGCTGCTGCTGGCGGGATGCTGCCTTCAGAGCTGGGCGCCCAGCCAACAGCTGCCGCTCTCCAGCCACCCAGCTCTGAAGTCAGTGCAGAAGTAAGGATGGCAATATTGTGACATCCCCTAAAATAAACTGGTGACCCCCCCTGCAACTCCCTTTTGAGTCAAGACCCCCAATTTGAGAAACACTGGTCTCCCCAGTAAAATCTGTGTTGTATAGGGTAAAAACACACAAAAGACCAGATTTCACGGGAGGTGACTAGATTTCATGGTCTGTGGACACATTTTTCATGACCATGTATTTGGTAGGCCCCTACATATAAATATGCTAGAACTGAGGGCTATCAGTGTAGCTCTGAAATAATTTTCTTCCCCCATAGAATCCTAGAATATCAGGCTTGGAAGGGATCTCAGGAGGTCATCTATCCAACCCCCTGCTCAAAGCAGGACCAATCCCCAGACTGATTTTTACCCCAGTTCCCTAAATGCCCCCCTCAGGGATTGAAATCACAACTCGGGGTTTAGCAGGCCAATGCTCAAACCACTGAGCTATCCCTCCCCCTTATTCACAACAAGGTAATACAAGTCGTCATGGACAATACAACAGCTGTGTCATTACCTGAACATGCAGGGAGGAGTTCATGCGTCTCAACTATACAAGGAGACAATCAAACTGGTGTATGTGCAACAATTGCTCTTCACTTAGCAGGCAAGGACAATGACAAAGCATACCAGATCAGCAGAGGCCTGACACAACTGCATGAAAGGTCTATAAAGGATTCACTAATTCAAAACACATTCAGCTTTTGAAGGTTTCCAGAGAGAGTTCTCTTCACCATCATGCAGGACATGCAGTGCCTCATTTCTTCTCAAGGGCAGACAGAAAGTCTATACATTTTGCTCATGTTTCTTCTGAATTGGGAGAGGGTACTGTTGTATGCTTTCCACTGATACAGAAGGTACTGAGAGAGAGGAGACATGATGGGACCAAGGTAATCTTAATAGCTCCTCCATGGTCAAGTCAACGGTGGAGGGTGTTTGCCTACTACTGAAATCTATGAAAAGCTCTATCTTTAAGGATTCAGAGAATTTCAGGCCAGAAGGGATCATTAGATCATCTAGTCCAGGGGTCGGCAACGTTCGGCACACGGCTCGCCAGGGTAAGCACCCTGGTGAGCCGGGCCAGTTTTATTTTCCTGCTGACATGGCAGGTTCGGCTGATCACGGCCCTCACTGGCCGCGGTTCGCCGTCCCGGGCCAATGAGGGCGGTGAGAAGCGGCGCGGGTGAGCGATGTGCTGGCCGTGGCTTCTTGCCGCCCCCATTGGCCCGGGACGGCGAACCGTGGCCAGTGAGGGCCGTGATCGGCCGAACCTGCCACGTCAGCAGGTAAATAAAACTGGCCCGGCCCGCCAGGGTGCTTACCCTGGTGAGCCGCGTGCCGAACGTTGCCATCCCCTGATCTAGTCTGATCTGCATATCACAGGCCATTAAAATTCACCCAGTTGCTCCTGTATTGAGCCCAGTAATTTGTGTTTGACTAAAGTGTAACTTGTGTTTTGACTAAAGCACATGATCCGGAAAGAAGTTATAGATCTTTTGATTTGATGACACCAAAAGATGAAGAATCCACCACTTTCCTTGGCAGTTTATTCCAATGGTTAATCGCCTTTGCTGTTAAAAACCATGAATGTGTGTGCCAGTTCAGAGTTTCATAAGGATAAATGTTATATTTAATCCACACAAACTGCAGAGGTTGAAAGAAAATGTTGTATTTTGGTCATTGGTCACCCTTTTGTATGCTGGTGTTGCACATTTGCAGGTTTGAAGGTTCTTCTGTGCTTCATCCTGATAGGAATGGGGAAGCACACTAGGCAGAGCTGCTGCTGCGGCCGCTTCTGACTATCCGTTTTCCAGAAGTGGGAAAAGCTATAGCATGTTGTGTCTTTACTACTAAATATGATGTGTGTTGCTCCTGGTATATCTGCTTTCAGTACCTTTTAAATGGTGATAAAATGACATGGAGACAGAAACCTTCCTAATGTATGTTGCAGCCTCTCATGCTGTTCATGAGGTTTGACACAAATCATAGGAGCAGCATCATCAGTGCAGTTTCTACTTTTGTTTCCCAATCAGGTGCAGCTCCCCATGTCATTTCCCTAATCTTGCGGAACCCACTTAAGTACATCAGCCAAGTATAAAAATTAGGAAATCAACGCTAAAAATTCCTTTATTTTAGTGACTCTTTAAGGATCCATCAGGATGCACCCAAAGCTTTAAAGGCATGGAATGAAGATATTTAAGGGAAAGTTCCTAGCATTCATTTCTCGCTTCACAGTGTCTACACGGCTTTCTGTAGCACACTGCAGCATTCCATAATAAAGTCTATGTTTTAGTCACGGGTAGGTTTAGTAAAAGTCATCGACAGTAAACAAAAAATCATGGCATGTGACTTGTCCATGACTTATACTCTACCCCTGATTAAATCTTGGGAGGGCTGCGGGTGCTTGTGGGGGGCCCACAAGTGCTCAGGGGGCGGCGGCATAGGGGGGTGCTGCAGGTGCTGGGTGGGGTTGGCGGGACTCGCAGGCTCCCTACCTGACTTCTCAGAAGCGGCGACATGTCCCTCCCTAAGCTCCTAGCTCTGCTTGCTGCCAGCTCCGCGGCCCCCTCCCACACCCGAACTCCTGCTGGTTGGGGGGGTGGCCCGAGACTGCCCCAACAGTGGCTGGTGTAGCTGGCCCAGGGGCTGCCCGAGCTGCTCGGGCAGCCCTGCAGCCAGCTGCACCAGCCGCTGCAGAAATCACGGAGGTCACAATAAGTCATGAAATCCGTGATCTCCGTGACAAACTTGCAGTCTTATCCATCCAGTCTTGTCTTATCTCATCCATAATGCATTCACTTTCATTTTCCACAGATACTGAAAAACAACACACACGCTTTATTTATCAAACTCACATCTAATGCAAAAACTTTACAGCAACTCCTCATTCTTTTGTATCAACAGATCAGCCCATCTGAGTTTCTCACAGTTCGTGATGTGATTAACTCATTAGTTTCCAGACTAGAGGGTTCCTCTTGTGAGAATGCATAATTGTCTATTTTATTTTAAGTTTTACACCCACTGTGTAAGGTGGATGAATTTAGCCTTGTTTTTGGAATTCTCATGGTTAAAATCCTTTTCAGTACAGTTAGACATTCTTGTATCTGCTGTTTGGATTGCATAGAGGGAACAATCATCTAAAACTCTTTCGTTTTATTAGCTAGTCTAATCAGGCAGCTGGAGTTCTGGGAAGGTAATGTTAACAAGAAGAATTTTGTTTCAAGGCCTTCTTCAGCTCAGGATTAACTTTTGGTTAAAGTTAAACCCTATTGAATAGGTTCTGTTTTTCCTGGGTTGAATAGAAAGTGCGTTCACTAGTCCCTCATACTCTATACTCTTATATTTACATTTATTTTGTATTTTTTGTGTCTTTAGTTTTTTGTGTTCTTAGAATATTATGTAAACAAAACTCTCTTAATGTGACTTCAGCATGAAGATATATCTAGGAATACAAAATGCCATACGTGTAATTTCTTAAAAAATGTCATATTGTCTAGTGTTCAGATTAATGTGGCTGGGCCCAGTTGTAATGACTGTATGCAAGGATATAGCCAAGTTGCCATGGGATATTCATTCTGAATTTTTGGAGTGTCGTATGATTGAAATAGTAAACTTAATACAGAGCTAACAGATTTTAGTCTATAACAATGTTTCATTTAATATATTGAATGTCCGTTTTGAAATCATGACTTTAATAAGTTTTCATCTTTTTATTTTATAGATTGGACTTTGAGATTAATGAACATAGTTACCAGGAAGTTGTCTTGTAACATCATCATTAGAAGAAATTCTATGTAGTTCTAATATTTCATAGAGGGTGCCGTGCTACAAAAATGATTACTTCAGATTTGCCAGTGTTACAGTGAGTAGTTAAAATTTTTTTCTTTTTTATTTGAATTCTTCAGATTACTAAAGATATGAAGAAGAATACTTCTTGGGGGGGAAGGGATGGCTTTGTGGTTAAGGCATGGGACTGATATTAAGGTGCATATTTGTGTCTTTGCTACAGACTTCCTGTGTGGACTGTAAGTAGGGTGACCAGATGTCCTGATTTTATAGGGACAGTCCCGATATTTGAGGATTTGCGTTATATAGGTGCCTATTACCCCCCACCTCCTGTTCTGGTTTTTCATACTTGCTGTCTGGTCACCCTAACTGCAAGTCACCCGAAGTAGTAGGCTACTTTGAAAAGTGACTATGTAAAAGTGACATCATCTCACTGAACAGATGTTTCTTTTCTTCCTGCATCAGTAATAAAAATATTTTTTTTACCATTTCTTCTTTCTGATAGCACTGCAGAGCTGTGGAAATATGAGCTGGATTCTGGTCCTCACTTGTTATAAACAAAATTGTTAATTATTCCAATTGTACATTCTCCTTTATAGCCAGGTCTACATATCTCACAAAAGATCTTTAGCTTCTGCTGTAGGATAATAGGCTGGCTGTGTTTGCCTACAAGCACCCCACAATGTTTGTTGGGGAATGTAAGTTGGTTGTGCAGACGAAATGAGTCAAATGGATCTCCTCCTAGATAAGGTAAGGGCATTAGAGTGGATTGAATGGAAGTGGCTGTCCAGAGTGTGAGCTGAGCAGATTGGAGGATGCAATTCTAGGAGCATCCAAGTTTGGGTAAAAGTTGGGGCAGAACTTTGTTGCCTTGTTAATATCCTTAATAAAAACCAAACCCTATGAAGGGGTCAGCTTAGATTCTATGTAGTGTGGATTGTGTGTGAGAGCAGGTTAGGAAAGGCACCTGCTTACATGCTGCTTGGAGGCAGAAATCAGGATTGTCAGTCATTTCCTGAGATCTGGGCTCCAGCCTTGGATTGCCTACCAGTTCTCTCCTATCTTTAAATGGAAGCAGGACAACATATTTCCTTCTCCAAAGCAAGAGCAGTTTTTTTAAAGTATATTCTAGAATTTTAAATTTTTCCACTTAATTTGGGACATATTTGTGCTCGGCTGTCTAACTTTTCTGAGCAGGACTACTCTTCAAGATCTGCTGAAACCTTGAACCATCTTTCTCTCCTGCAGCTCAGTGTGCAGACAGCACACTTGGGAAAAAGAAGCCACAACCTTTCTCTTCCTAAAGTGACTAGATGGGAATTTTTGCCGCTGATGTTCCCAGGCACCTTCTACCCATGTGGAAGAGAGAAGGAACTGTTCAGGCTTCCCACCCCTGCCAGCAAATTCCTTTCCCCCAGCATTCAAGCAGACTGTCAAGGAGCAGTCAAAAAAGGTCACTTCAGCCTACCAACCTGAACTGTGATCCTGGGGAAACTCAAACAAAGCTCAACATAGCAGGAATAGACAGCTGCACCTCCTGAGAAGCAGATCCTTCATAACAGGACAGACATTTGCTCAGGAACGAAAGTCTCATTAATAAAGGGAGGTACTTTCAGCAGCTTTTAGGGATCAATGGCTACAGTAATGTCCAACTGACTATTTCCGTCTTTGTCTCTCAAGAAATGAGCCATCCATTTTGTCTTGTAGTAGGAACCTCTTTTAGATTTTCTGCTCCGCAGCTTGGGAGTAGGAGATCCCTGATAGTTTTGCGTATTAGGACTCCAAAGGCTCAATTTCATCTTCTAGCCCATAGTACCCAGCCATCTCACCCTGTGACCTTTCATCATGGGGTCAACACCTGTATTTTTGCTGGCACTCCCTGTTTCAGAAGGATTCCTTCCAAAGAGAAGTCTTTCTTCAGAGTGCAAAACACCTATGCCTCAGAGTACTCCAAGGTCAAAAGCAAGGTCTTCTGCAAGTGCTCTTGTGAATCCTACAAAGAAGATGCTACACAACAACCTGAATTCCTAGTCTGTTTCTGAGGTGCTGCAGAACAGCCCCAAAGAGAGAAATGAACTCTGCTTCTTTCTCTGACCTGTCTGACCCTTCCAGAGATTCCAGGCAGTGTTTCAGGTATTTGAGGAAGGGCACACCCTGCTTTGGTGCTTTTCCAGGTGACTTGGTCTGATGGTAGCAAGTACTGCATTTACCCCTGGCAAAACTTTAACAACCTCAGCAACATTAGCAAATGTCCATCATTGATGTATATGCACAGGTTAAGGGTGTGGTGTGTGTTCACAGCAAAAATGTGAGATTATCGCTAAGGTTTGGCTTTCTGCGTAATGTGTTGTGTAGTATGTTTTCTTCTCTGAGGCAGAAGGGAGTTGCTTGATGATTTGTGTAGTCTGTTGTTCTCAGTAGAAACTTGCTGTGTGACGAGTCTGATACAGTTAAGAGCTGTCCAGTAACCTGGTATTTCCTTATGGCCATTAACTTGTCACCAAGGGTTTGCACTTACCCAACCTTAACTGGTTTAAAATTAAGCTTTTGTTTATGCTAATGTGGCAATTCTAATAGAGGAGGTGTATGGGAGCGTATTGGGGGCACATGGAAAAGTGGAGAATGGATGGCTCTCCTCACTTTCCTTATGGTGTGAGGAAAATGGCTGGAGCACAGATGTTTATGATAGTGGAGAAAGCAGAGAGTCAAGTGAGGAGGGCAGGAATGGGTACAGGAATACCTCTGTGTGTCAGTTGTCACATCCTTATTGCAGGGCTAATGAAATAGGTAATGTTCACCTGAGAAAAGACTTTTCCCTGTGATTCTGCAGGACTTGTTGCGGGATGGAGGAGATGAATGCCACCCAGTTCCCCCCTACTTATCCCATTCCAATTTTATGGAAAGGTGTGGGTAAGGGCGAGGACATAGAAGATTCCCCACTTCTTGTTTGACTTATGAGATGGCAGTTTGTGCATCCTTCCCTCGTGGCCTAAATCTTACTTCAGCTCAGGAATGCCTGTATTATTATGAGAACCTGTCCTATGTAGCATCTGCTTTGCCAAGCCATTCAAGGCTTTTCAGAGTAGAGGAGCCTCTTTTGAAGCCACAGAGCTTTGAAAGAAGTTAGGGAACCTCCAGCACTGGAGCTCATAGCTCCTGTACCCTGGGAATCCTGGCTGCTGCTTCCCATGAGTGGGCCTGGGTTCACAGCATACAGGAGCTATGGACCTTAGTGCTAGGGGCTCTCCTGCTCTTGTGGAAGGTCTGTCGCTTTGACAGCCTCCCATGTTCTGAGGTGCTGTATATGTTGCATATGACAGGCTGCCTCTGCCAAGGAGTGGAGGCAGTTCTTTACTTCATGTCCCCACTACAGCAGATGGAAGGGAGGCTGTGGGGAGCAAATCTTCCCACCTGACCATGTGCACCATTGGAGTCCTTGAGCTCTCACTGCTGCGCCCTTTGCAGGCGGACTCACCGCCTCATTAGACTGAGAGTGTCATGTGGTGAACTTCTGATGAGGATCCCTGCAAACCAGAAGTATCTTGCCATTAAGAAAGGTGATTGGGGAGTGGTCTATCAGAAAGATTGAGAGTGCTTTGCTTCCTATAAAGAGTAGAGGGGGGAGGATTGTAAATCATTCAGTTCCTTCCACTCCCACCCATACTAGTGTGATGGTCTCTATTTTGTCTGACACAAAAGGGATTGAACGGGGACTCTCCAGATCTTCAGCAAAGAGCCAAGCATTTGGTTTAAGGCTGTAGTAGATTTACACCTTCTGTTGATACAAAGGGGACATGTAGCACTTATTGACTTATGTGCCCTAGAGCTAGGAGTGCTGTAGGATTTGTTGAGGCTAGGGGAAATCTTTGGAGATTAGGAGATCTGGAGGCATGCTGTGGCAAAGGTAAGGGGATCCCACTGGGGACCTTCCCTCCTTCCCCCCCCCACAGTCTCCTGGACCTCATCTCCTAATAGTTTTCTGTCCAGTTTTCTGAGCACTGGGTTGGTCATCTTCTCTGAGGCCACCCTTGCTTTAGTCCTATTGGAAACAATATGAGATCGTAGGCATCTTTACAAAGGGCAGCCTCACTTCCACATGCAAATGGTGGTCCCCTAAGGCAATCTATGGCTTCAGTCACATTTATAAGTTACAAAAAATGGTGGCTGCTTTGAATAAGTCAGTTAGCTACATCATAACCATTGCCCATATTCTAGGCATAATCATCAATGTTGTCACTTTTGCTGTACTGCTGCAAACTGGTTTGACACCACTCAATTAAGTAAAGTAGTTAATTGTCCATTTTTTTCTTTGCATAGTTTTTCTTTTTCTGAGAATAAAGAATTCTCTTTCTGCATGTATTTTCATGACAACAAAAGTGTTCCAAAAAAAAGTGACACCCTTTCTAAAAATCTGAAAGAAGTGATTTTCTAATATTCTGATATTTGACAACTACAAAATCTTGGAACTCAAATACATTTTAGAAAATTCAGACACATTCAGATTTATAATATCCATTACTTTTCTCAAAAAATATTTAGGTGAGAACAGAATTGCAAAAGCCTCAAAGGGCTATTCTAGCACAACCTTAACTATGATGTTCATATAGTTAAATGTTTGTTCTATTTTATTACAAAACATTTACAGAACATTTTTGATAAAATCACATTGGAGGATCTGTGAACCTGGCCATGAAGGAGGATGGTGCTAGATCCACAGAACGGATCTACGCTTGTTTGCGTTTAAGGCCGTATAATCTTAGCAAAATTGGCCTGCTTTTCCCTTCACACACAATTTATACCAGTGTAACTCCCTTTACTTCAGAGGAGTTACCCATGATTTTTGTTAATATGAAATAAAAATGAGACCCTGATAATTCTGAAAGATGGATCTGGTGCTCTGTCACAAGTGTCTTTGACCCATAGAGGTCTTGTTGAATTAGTTTATTGATATTACAAGTGAAAGTTAAAATAAATCCATTCATGTCGGCTTGAGAAATAATCTCATTTATGAGCTCTTCAGGGGCAGAACCCAGTACTCCAGAGGATGAGTGACTGGCCTGGTTTCTTCAAGTAGCAATCCTCTGGTTGAAGAGCCATTGTAGGACCAGTGGACCTGATTTCTAGAAGAAAGGAAATTTTCGGGTAACAATTTTTACTATTAAAGTTTGGTCCTGCTCTGAAAAGTGACTGAAAAGGTGGCACAATGGGCTTCCACACTTAGGGCTGGTCTACACTACATAGCTAGGTCGACATAAGGCAGTTTATGTCGACCTAATTATGTCAGTGTCTACACTACAGCCTTCTTCCTGCTGATGTAAGGGCCCTATGTGGCAAGGCACCTCTTCCATCTCTCTAGACTTAGCACTTCCTCCTCTGGTGATGGTGGGCCTAGGGTAATCAGCCCCACTTAGGGCAGGGTTTGCCTTCCCCCTTTCTGCTCCTTTGGTCGCATTTTCAGGGTCAGCCTATGGGTGATCGTCCACCGAACAAAAAGGAAACACCCTCATAAATACATAAACCCCAGAGGTATACCTTTTGCTGCCTCCTTGCTGGTGCAGGGTCTCGTCCTGTTGGTTGCCCTGGGGTATCAGTCCTCCCCTAGCAGGCACTCAGGTGTGGCTGTTTCCCCTATAGGAAGGAGCACAGCCTCTCACCCTGGAGCAGGTTATTTTCCCTGCTGCCACTAGCCTGGCAGGAGCTTCTTTCTCTCACCAGAGGAGGGATTTTGAAAGTAGATATAGAATCATAGAATATCCGGATTGGAAGGGACCTCAGGAGGTCTTCTAGTCCAACCCCCTGCTCAAAGTAGGACCAATCCCCAGACAGATTTTTGCCCCAAATCCCTAAATGGCCCCTTCAAGGATTGAACTCACAACCCTAGGTTTAGCAGGCCAATGCGCAAACCACTGAGCTATCCTTCCCTCCCAGATCTCAGGCAGCCCTTAATTTGATTCAGGTGTCCCTAATGGACCTAAGGTAGCCCCTTCTCAGCTAGTAGGGAAGAGGGCCTTTAACATTCTAGGGCTAACATCTGCCTTCCAGCACCCAGCTGCCCCCGGCTTCCCAGGAGAGCTGGGCAGCTGGACCCTGCTCCCAGCTGGGAGCCGCAGCAAGAAGCCCCGGTGGCTTTGGATCCTGCTCTCAGCTGGGAACTGGGGTGAGAAGCTTTGGACCCCTCTGGGACCTGGGCAGTCTTGTCAATTTCATGGCTGGATGAGCTGTGAAATTGATAAGGCTGCTCAGCTCTTGGAGGGGGTGGGGAGCCAAGAAACAGGGGCAGCTGGACTCCACTCTACGGGGGTGAGAAAGCTCCGGGCGGCTTCCCCCGCTCTTGGTGGGGATCAGGGATTGGAGGCGGGGGTAGCCCACTGAGAGCCTGTGGGGCAGCTGGGCTCCTGGCAGGGAGTTGCCAGCAGAGCTGAGAGCCCAGTCTCTCAGCTCCCCACACTGCCCTTCTTAGGGTCAGTGGAAGCGCTCCTGATGAGGACGCGCATCACCAACCTAAGGAGAGGGTAGTGTGGACATGCAGTGATTACTGTGGTTGCTGTATGTTGACCTAATATATAGGTTGACTTCCACTTCTAGTGTAGATATACCTGTAGTCTCTCAATGACTTGCAGATCAGATTTGCTCATTGTACAAGTGAAAAGGTTTTTCCTAAGTCCCAGAGCCACAAACTCAACCTGGGATGAGAAAATCAAGCTGACAGTCTCTCTGATTTGTGCATCATCACCAGCAATAAAGATTATTCAGGGTAAATCCTGCCCTTATTTGCACTGTGCAATCCCATTGTCTTTGAGTGCACTTGAGGTTAGAATTTGGTCTATAGTTGGAGTTTACATAACCACTTTAATGAAGGGAGAACTAGAAGAGAATGCAGCTTGCTTTCCTGATAGCTGTATTGGCTGTCAAGGCTAATGAGTAAATAGTAATAAAATCTTATTTTGGTCATGAGAACAAGCTGATACTACTGAGTACACACAGTTAAGAAGGTGCTATTTAACATAGTCAATTTTCAAAGTAGAATTTCACTTTAAAAGAGCCAGTTATTTAAATGAGTCTTCAGGTCTGAGAGCATACACTAATTTCTAACTTCATAAAACTTGCATAGTTTAGCATTCCTCCATACGTAGCAATCTTTGATGAATTTGCAGAGGGAATGCTGCACAAGGCTTTTAAAGGATAATTTGTTTTGTTCTATATTACACCTAAATATTTAAGCAGTTTAATTATAAATTCATAACTTGTTTCAAATAATTTTAATTTAACTAGTATTTTTTCCCTAGGGATTCAACAAATGAAACTACTGCACATTCAGATGCTGGCAGTGAGCTTGAAGAAACAGAAGTCAAAGGAAAGAGAAAAAGGGGCCGTCCTGGCAGGCCTCCAGTATGTGGTGTTTAGTTTTGTTTTGTTGTGAATCAGTTTAAACTTGACTGCAGATTGTTCTCCCATCCTGTCCTCTTAGTGATCACATCAATAGGTTTGCAATGAACCATTTGTCAAACTATATGAAGATTTATAGTGCATAGTACATATGTCAGACTGATACAAAAAAATTGCTGAAATAGAAGTATATGATCTAATTTAAAAGATAAGCTGGGAATAGCCATTAATACTTTTTCCTTTACATACATACACATTAAAATTTTACATTTAGTTATTTGTCATATTACAATATTCTTCCTAGGCATGAGAGTAGTTTTATTAACCATAACTCTTTTCTACTATTAATGGATACTTCACTTAAGTGTTGTGAAACGATACTTGAGCCATCTTTAAGTGGCTTTTAATTTCTTCATGTGAACTGGAAAGTGTGCTCTCACTTTTAATATAATGTTTAGATGTTCCCTAGGGAGATCTAGTAATGCAGGTTAAAATATTAAGATTAATGAACATATTTTGTGTCCTGAGGGTAAGGAGCTTTGTTCTTTAGTATAATATAGTTATCACTAGATTTGGTATCTGCTGTATAGGTATTTACTAACAGAAGATTCTTCTTCAGGGCCTTTGTACATTACCACACCATGAATAGGAATGTACCTAGGCAATTCAAAAACTCACAGTAACTACTAAGTAACCCTTTCCATATTTATAAGATATTTATTCATAAGAGAAGTAACTTCCTCAGCAGGCATATATAATTTTGGAGGCTGTTTTATCAAGCCGTTCACTGTAGGTAGATTGCCAGTCATCACAAATATTAATATTAATGTTTGATTATATAATCAGAATTACACAGTGTGTAATAAGATTTTTTTGTAAGAATTTTGCATAATTTTTTGTGAGCTTTTAATAATTTTGTCTATTTGCCAATTTGTTCCTTCCTCATGACTGTTCTGGTGTCAGCTCAGTTAGACTACATTAATGGAATATATGTTATAAAAGATCATATAAGTATATAGAACATATCTGCTGTTTTAGAATATCTGGTTCTAAAAGATTATTATAAAGAGTTGAAAATCCACCCAAATACATGTACAGTAGGAAAATGACATAGTTTTCCTGTAAAATTTTAATCCTTAATTATCTATCGCTATGTTAGCTTTGTAGTTAACAGCTCTATCCACTGAAGGACTTCCAGCTTACCAGATCCACTTTGCAAATGTTCCAGAATCTGTTGGAAGCATAGGACTGGAATGGAACTCCTGGGTCATAGAGTTCAGTCCCTCGCTATCGGAGGCAACCCTGTCATAAACTCCTGTTCATAAGTTTATCAAGATCCATATTAAAACCAGTTAGGTTATATGCTACCACTACGCCTATTGAAGGATGTTCCAGAACCTCACTTCTCTCACGATTACAGGGAACTTCTCATACTGGTCTGGTCATGAATGCTGAGTACCTGTCTTGCATCCAGAAACCACTTCATGCAGACCTTTTCAATTATTTTTTGTCTTATGCTTTCCAGCTGATCTTGCTGTCATATTTGTATTGTTTCCTTGTGAGTCTTCAGCTGAATGTCCCTGTGCTAGAAAACCGCAGTTTTCTCTCAGTGCTGTTTCTGAGAGCCTCTTTTGTAGGTTTTTTTTATTTCTTCTCTCCTTCCCATAATTCCTAAAAAAAAAAAAAATATGGAACTCTTTAGAAGGGATTCTAAGAGCAGCCTGGGGGAAAATCCTTGATCCAGTGGCATTTTCTTCTTGTGCTTCAGCACAACAGAGGCTCAGCTGCACTTCAAAAGACTGCTCTCTATAGCAGCTTTCCTACTTACTGAAGTCTGGAAGTATGGCCTCTTCGTAGAGGCCCAGGAGAGCTTTTTTTTTTTTTAAACACACACAGGCCGCCTCCTACCCCAGTGGGATGTGGAAAATTTCTCAGATGGCTAATGACATATGGAGAAAATGCTTTAAATGTACTGGTGAGACAATACCCTGTTTCCAGTGGTGATCCTTAGGACCAGCACCTGCAATCCAAGGGAGTTCCTACTCTTTATCTCTCCAAAACTACTGTTTTTCCCCCTGATGGCCACCTAAGGGCAAGTTCATTGATCCTCAATGGCCTGTCTCTTAAATTTGAGATGGAAATACTTGAATGGCTTGTTCTTTTCAGAGGTTGATCAAGAAATCTCCTGTCCAAGGGCACCATCCAAATCAGATAGGGAAGGTTCCCTTCTTTGTCGCTTCCTAAAACCACTGCCTGCAGATCTTCCTTGTATTTATCAGAGCTCATTCTCTTCAGTGGCCTCCTCCTACCCAAACCAAAAGACCCAAGCTGTTGCTGCCTCTCCTCCTTCTCATCTGAGGAGTATACCACAAAGAAGGTCAACATCAAAAAGCAGAAAGCCCGATTCATTTTTCTCTGTTTATCACAACAACAAAGTCAATTGTTATATAAATCGATGGTCCAGCCTACTGTAATACTATCTGTTCTACTGATCGCCTCTCAAAAAGGATATTTAAGTATTAGAGAAGGTTCAGGGGAAAAAAAAGATGTTATTTATTAGGGGCATGGAAAAACTGTTACATGAAGAGAGATTGAAGAGATAGGAGTTGTTTACCTTAGAAAAATGCAAGTAAGAGGGGACATGAAAAAAGAATGAAGGGAGATTGTGAGTATCTCTTTTTTCCTGTCTCGTGACACAAGATCAAGGGGACAGTCAATGAAATTGAAAGGAGGAAAATTCAGAACTAAGAAAAGGAAATACTTTTTCACACAGCACCTAGTTAGACTGTGGAACTCCTTGCTACAGGATTCCATTTAGGCAAAGTATCTTGCAAGGTTCAAAGAAGGATCGATCATTTACATAAATAACAAAAATATCCAGAGTTATGGTTAATGCTTAAAGAAAGTTTTGCAAGGGATATGAAACTATATACTTTGGGGTTAAACCACTCTCCTTTTGGGGTTAAGGTGAGGCCTTCGTGGGTGACAGATTATTGCACATCTGCCTAATGCAAGGTTTCATAGATTCCAAGACCAGAAGGGACCATTATGATGATCTAGTCTGATCTCTTGTATAAAACAGGCCATAGAACTTCCCCAAAATAATTCATAGATTATCTTTTAGAAAAACATCCAGTCTTGATTTAAAAATTGTCACTGATGGAGAATCCACCACATCCCTGGGTGTGTTGTTCCAATGGTTAATTATTCTCCTTGTTAAAACTTTATGCCTTATTTTTAGTTTGAATGTCCAGCAATTGCATTGTTACACCTTTTCCTGCTAGAATGAAGAGCTCATTATTAAATATTTGTTCCCCATGTAGATATTTGTAATCAAGTCACTCTTTAATCTTATCTTTGTTAAGCTAAATAGCTTGAGCTCCTTAAGTCTATCGCTAGAAGGCGTTATTTTGTAATCCTTTAATCATTCTTGTGGCTCTTCTCTGAACCTTCTTCAGATTATCAACATCTTTCCAGCTCTGGTGCCCACAATTCAGGAAACAGTATTCCAGCGGTGGTTGCACCAGTGCCAAATAGAGAGGTAAAATAACCTTCCTACTTGAGATTCATCTGTTTAAGCACCTTCCTCTGAAAAAGCTGGTGCTGGCCACTGACCAAGACAGAATACTGGACTAGATGGACCACAGACCTGATCCAGTATAGCAATTCCTATGTTCCTGAATTTTGGCTGAAGGGGGATATTTTTTTTCTTTTCCAAATAATCTAATCAGATATAGTAATCTCCTTTGGAGGGAGATGACCTGGATGGCTGAGCTGTTACATACCAATCTGGAGATCGAATAATAATCTTTCATTCATTCAGTCCAAGAAAGACCTCCCTCAAAATGCAGTTGAAAGAAATGAAAAAGTAGATTTTCTGATCCTTAAAAGAGTTGAAAAAAAAAAAACCTGGACTCTGTATGGTTCTATCCAGCTAAGAAGCCCTCAATGTAACATTTTAAAAAATGCATCAGTTACAACAGGATCTGTGAGCTCCCCATTAAGGGCATGGCTACACTTGCAGTTGTAGAGCGCTGGGACTTAAACCAGCCTTCGGAGACCGCAGCAGGGAAAACGCTGTCGAGTGCTTACACACTCAGCTGGAAGCGCACTGGCATGGCCACATTAGAAGCTCTTGCAACGCCACAAAGAGCAGTGCATTTTGATAGCTATCGCAGCAT